AAATGAAGTAGTCACCTTTGTAAAATTTTTCTGAGGCCTTAATCATTTCTTTTTGTTTAATTTCAAGGGCCCGGAGTTGAAATAAAAAAAATCGGTTCTAATTGTAGTATTATATGGTCTTATGTCTGCCTCGTACCCAGACGTCTCTATCTCGATAAAAATTTTCTTGCAATGGAAGGCGGGTCCCTTGCGCTTCGTCACTAGTCACTCGCTTTTCGCGCCCGCCTCTATGTGAAACCAAGCGAAAAACGAAGCGCCTGAGGAGGAGACTGGTCTTATGTAATTATTTCTTCTCTAACCTAAAGCAACAATAGACCCTGGTTTCACTTACCATTTTCAGGTCTTAGGAGGCGGGGGAGGGTGACGAAATTTTGATTTTTCCATTTTTGGCCCAAAAATGAAGAGAGAAATGCGCTAAGCATGGAGGAAAGAAGATTTAAGACGATAACTCGCAACATGGTAATGACTAAAACCCAGATGGGAGACTACGCATTTATGTCCCCCAATTGTCTTAAGTTGCAGAAAAAAGGAAAAAGAAATATTTACAGGGGTGGATCCAGGATTTTTTTTAGGAGGAGGTTCACTTGTCTCTTGCTCTACTTCAACACCAATAACCCACATAGTTTTTTTTTTTTGCAGAATACCAGTTGTATTAGAAAACCGCAGGTCATCTCAGGGGGAGGGGGGTGCACACCCCCTTCACCCTCCCCCCAGATCCGCCCCTGATTTAGTTAAATTACGTTGTATTAGGATACCGGCTTTACACTAACCTGAGATCAGGCGTTATTATTATTATTTTTTTTGCTTCTTTGTGTCTTTGGCTCGAGAGGGAAAAAAATAACGCCTGATACATTCACTTAACAAGCCGTTAACCGCCCCCTAATTTACATAATCTAACGTCTGCTTGACCTGTCATGTTATTAGCCCATAAGCGTTTACCAGACGGGAATCAAATTTTAGCGCGAATAACTACTGATGTCTCTTTTGAAATCAACTTTTAGAAAAAGAAAATTTTTAAGGACGTCCATGTTCAGATGGCGCTTCCTAAAAAAAATTTTAAATGTGTTGTTTTTGTGATGAAATACTGCTAGCTGGAGCTGCCTTACCTTTATTTAACAGCTACAAACAATAAAGAATTTACTGGTTAAAGCTCGTTGACTTCGTTCTGTGCCGAAAGCAGTGAAAAAAAAATTAGGCTGAAGCACCATATTTTACGAACTGAAAGGTGTTGTGAAAGTAAAGATCGCTCAGAATAATTCGCAGGTTTCTGAAGGATTAATTACAGTCAAACCAGGTCAAGATTCCATTCATGAATTGATTTTTTTTAAAGTGAACCCGTTTGTATCTTCTGTAACTTGTAGCTGATATCAAATTGCATTCAAATGATCGGTGAATTTTTGACTGCAACTTTTTGGTATACGATGAGATGGAAAATATTTCAATGGATGAAATTTCTATTTAGGACTCATTTAGGCATTCTTCAAATTCGAGAAAACTGAGCCGGCAGAAATTTTATAACGAACTCGCATGTGTATTCACTGCTCATTACGCAAGCAAAAATGCAGACTGAAATCAACAACAACTAACGGATGGCGGCATTTTGGCCAATTGGAACAGCGCAAATCATCCGTATTGTTTCCTATCCAATCAGAAAAAAGTCCAGATTCTGGCTTTTTTACATGTGATCCGACAAAGAAATGTATCATGCCCTCTTCCCGTGAGAGACATAAAGGGATAACAGGGAGAGGGCATGATCTCAGGCTAGCTTTACACACACTGCGCTTTTTCAGTCCGATAGGGTTTCGGCTATTTAAAGTGGGCACTGAATTTTTACACCCCTTTCAATACACTTCGCTGCTACATACAGGTAATATAGAGGTCAGCAAAAGACCAACTACTTTTTTGTAATACTGCAACTTTGATTTCACTTAAACCATGGGGCGCACAAGGTAAGGGAGTGGGTGCAGTCCCCGGAAGGCTTTTTGAATCAACAAACAAGACAATTCATCACTTATCCACACTTGGCGTCGGAACGGGAGCTCGTGCGCAATACCAGAACCACAAAAAGCTGGGAAACTGAATGACTTTTGAAAAAGTCATGCAATCCGCAAATGCAATGACTAAATTCAAGGTTTTGTGGAGAACGTGAACGCGAGATAATTTTCTTTTCTCTATCAGAACTTTAACCTCCTCCTCTGCAATGCCAAATGCAGGTATAGCTCGGATACTTAGTGCAAATTTAACTAGACAATGTAGTTTTAATATAATCATGCGGATTTTTCTTTAGTGACCTTTTCGTTTGTATCGCCCTTAACTAGGTTTAAATGGCTAGACTTCCTTGTTATGACCTGTGGACAAAAAAAACAATTTGCAAATCTTCTTTCAAACCTAATTTTCCTTCATTTTATTGATAATTAAATGTTAAATTTGGTGATTTGCTTTCACTCGCGACCCTCACCCGTACCCGTGTCCTTTACCCGCACTCACACCTGCGACCTCTACCCGCGACATTTAGACATACTCTACGCTTGGGCTACCCGGATACATATAACGCGGTCATATCTCCTCTACTAAGTATCTTTATATCGAGTAAAAATTTGAAGTATATAGTTGATTAATTACTTTTGCTATTGTATAAAATATTACTGTAACTGCCTTAATGATACGTAATTGAAACATAACTACAAAACTTTTTAAAGCCGATTTTACCTGATGCATTCACCGTGCAGTTTGTCTTTCCATCTCCTATGTATCCATGGTTACAAGAGCAATTAAACGAATCCAATGTATTTACACAGGAAGCCAGACTAGAAAGGCAAACATGGAGTCCATCGTCACATTCATCGATATCTTTATTAAAGAAAAGATTTTTCACAGTTTGACGGATCTGAATCTCATTGTCAGTTTTCGTGATCGTGCATACAGAACGCTTCAAGAGAAGCTGAAATCAAACTCAACAGAGGAAAAACTAAATTAAATAATTCAACAAAGAAAACTTAAATCAAAAATTAATTGCGCCGAATTTTTTTTTTTTTTTGTCGATACTCCGTAACCTTAACTTTCCTTTTCATGATCGGGCCGACAAACGGTTCCTTGTAAGTCATCAGCCTTTACATTTATACACCTCGATATCTGACGGTAACTTTTACAAATTTTCCTCTGGGGACAGAGCTAGGACAACAAATAATTTATTATTTAACATTTTCCCCTACCAATGACCACAATTCTGCAGTCCGCGCGGTACGTATTGTGCGGTCCTTTCACGGCCAAATGTGCGCTAGACTTACAAGTTAAAAACGTTACAACACCTAAAACGTTTTTCAAAAAGGGGAACTTTGGCTAGCAAGTTAAGAGCCTGTCGATAGAATAAACAACAACTCTTTGATGTACACATTTAAATTTCGGCGAGGATGAAGATATCCCGCCGGGTGTAGCTAAAGCGTAAACAGACGCATACAACTTCCTTCAAGCGAAATTCCAAGCCAGAAAACCTAGCCTGCGAAA